TTTTAAAGATATTTTTTTTGATTATAGACTAGCTATCTATAATTCTTTATCTAATAAATATATAAAGTATAATATTAAAAAAATATATATATTCATATAGCTTAGTTTTAATTATTACTTTTTATTAAAGATTACTTTTTTAGTCTAATTAAATACTTTCAAATTTATTTAACTACTAATTTTTAGAAATAATAATCACTTCTTTTAAATTAAATTTTATAAATATAATTTATATTATCTTATTACTTAAGATTTTAATTATATATGTTCTTTGCTTATATAATATTATTATACTTTTTATTTTTAAAACAATTAGATACAACTTAATTTACAGGATTATAATTCTAGAAACAAGTAAAATCTTATAATATTGCAGGTATAATTTTTAAATTTATTAATAATAGAATTTGAACTCTAGATTTATAGCATGATGGTTTAACAATCTACTAACTATACTAAAATTATTAAACCTTATTATTATTAGTATTATAAAAATTAAAATTAAATATAATATATAACTTATTGTTTAAAAAAACATTTTTTTTTTTAAAAAAAAAACTAATATTTAAAAAAATTTTTAAATTACTTTTTGAGTTTTAGCAAAAAATATTTGTTAAATTTTATATATGAGTGCTACCAAGTGAAAACCTGACATTATAAAAATAAATTTCTATAGACAACGGAATGCGAAATTTTAATTGATCTAGTAGTAATTTAATTACTACTAGATCAATTAAAATCCCGCATTCCGATGTTCCATAGAAATCTATTTTTAGAATATCAGGTTTTCACTTGGCGGCACTCATATAGATATATTTTGTTCTAACTCTAATAATAATTTTAACTCTAAACTAAATTAATTTAAATTTTTTATAAAAAAAATATTTTGATTATATTATACGTTCTAAATACTCTGTGAATTTAAAAAAAATAAAAAATTTATTTATTTATAGATAAAATAATTATTTTAATTAAAAGTAATTTTAGTATTAAAATATTTTTATATATTAAATATTCTATTTTAAAATCATATATATATAGCAATATAATATTATTAATTGAAAATCAAGTTTTGATTATAAGATTTACTATGACTTATAAGAGCATTTTCAGGGCAAAGACCTATATTATTATAATATTATACCATATATGGCACGTAATTTTCACGAAAGTTTAGTAAATTAGATTTTCATATAATTTTCTCATGTGATAAGAATTTAGAAAGTTTAGTCAGTATTTATTTATTATATCAAATACATGATTCGCACTAGTAATGTGGTAAAATCACCCCCAATGAAATTACGGCTTAAGCTAAAGCTTATATTGTATCTAGTTACGATAATTATCGTAACTAGTTACGACAATCATTGGACGATTCTAATTTGCACTGTAGCTCAATTATCACGACATTTAGATGATGTGAATCATAAGGACGTAAAATCATCATATGTTCAAAGGTACAGTTACATGAAATGTTGATTACTCAAACTTAAAGAAACGAAAAAAAAAACAAATCATAAAATTACATAATTAAAGATGGAAGCATGATCCAGCAAAAAAAAAAAAAACACTCCGTAATTATCCGATGATATCTATATATATTAATATAAAATTCACCTCCTTGTCAAATAATAATTCAATATAGGACAAGAAGGTAAATTTAATATTAATATGTGTAGATATCATCGGAAAATTACGGAGTGTGATTTTGCTGGACGATGACACATATGGTAGATAGTATAATGCTGTAATTCCTTCAATTACTATAATGATAACGATAATTACAAATATTTTTAAATTACGAGCAAATCAGATTTCGTAACATCTGGAAAAAAAAAAAATCTTGTTTATATGATCGTGTAACAAACGATCCAAAACATTGTTTTTTTTTTTTTTTAAAAAAAAAAAAAAAAAACTTCTTTTACGGTATACATCCGAGAATGTCATTGTGTACACCACCGAGAGTATAACATATACAAAATGAAATTTATTTAGGGAATTACTATTTCCACCATAATAAATTGCTATTTCCACAATGATAATTCAGATAAATCAAAACAATGACTAACATTATAAAATGTGATTCACCCTAACCCTAATCTAATTCCAGCCACATGATGAAAATAGCAAAAATTTATATATTATTTTATAGGATTATATTAAAGTTTAAAAATTAAATTTAAGGTTAAAAAGTATTAATCCATTGATCTTTTAAACGTTCGACGAACAGTTCATGGAATGTAAATACTTAGAATATTTATTCTTAAAATACGTAAATAAATTCTGATCAAACAATTGCAAATCATGACTTTGTATGATTGTACATAAAGTATATCCCAAGCTCGCTCGATAAAAATTTTACGAAAAATCTATAAAATAATTTATTACTATTAATAACTGAATTTTTAATATCGGGATTACAATTATGTATATCTTGGCCGTTTGTTACACGAATTCATAGATAGGCCCGTTCGTCCAAAAAATCTTTGATAATGGCCTGCCCTAATTTTCCCTAATATTAAAGAAGTCACCCTTGTATTGATTGAATATCAGATATACGGATATGATACTAAATTAATTATCCTGATGATCATTATTGATTAAGAAACTAAGAACTTAAATATTTTCATGCTTCGGTAAATTGACTATGAATAGTAATACGCATTGATATACGTTATAACTATAAGGAAATTTGTATTGAAGATTCTTCGTGGTATGCATGCGATCTGTCCATAATTTTGTCGATTTTTTTTTCGGGTAAAGCAAACAAAACAAATAACTTTAAATATATATGTATATACATTTTAAAATATTCATAGTAATTTTCGGGGATCTGTTAACTTGTGACAATTATGATATGTTTATCTAATTACTAATAAATGATAAAAAAAAAAAAAAAAAATCTTGTGTTAGTTATTCATTATATTATTTATTATCTTAAAGTCATACAATATTATTAATAATTGTATTAAGTCTATCAAGAATGACACTTTTTTTACGATATTATTACACTCTATGAAAATCTACCAATTGTTTCATACTGTCATGACATACATACGCGGATATCTTATCTAATGAAAAGGAGATAAATCATATTTTAGCAAATAAAGAAAAGATTGTATTATTTTACTATGAATATAGATAAACAGTTCAAATAAAATCAAATAATGTATCCAATGTATCCTTTAATTACTGTACAAATACCGTTATAAGAGTACCGAATTTAGTTTCATATAATCGGTTTTGTTCTAAACAATTTGGAAGCTAAGTTTTCCCAGTAATTTTAAATTTTATGTATACATTTTATATAGATTACTAATCCAACTTTTTACAGAAGTTCTATCTAGAAAAAAAAAAAAAAAAAAGATCTCGAGCTCATCTCTGCAATTTTCAAACTGTTTATATTAATTATATAATTTCGGCCTTCCCTACTAAGTAAAAAAATATTTTATATTAAACATGTCACTAAAATTAGATAATAAGGAGAACACTAATTCTGTCTAGCATACCCATCATGCCTAGTATATGTTCCTTATTTTAATATACAATACACAGTATAAACCTTGTTTTTATAATTACGAGATCATTTTTGACGTTACATTGTTAAGGGAAAAAAAAAAAAAAAAACGATACAAGATGTATTTGAGGAAGGTTGGCTTTTTTTTTTTAAAAAAAAAAAAAAAAAAAACCAACATCAAGGCAAGAAAAAAAAGATATATATCGGTTAAATTAAATGTCAAAGTAGGATCCTTAATAGATCCTAATTCTGTATTGGAAAGATAAGCCCCCAAAAATTGACATGAATTAAGACCGAACTTATTATCAAACTTTAATAAAAGAGGTATACTAATTCGAACAATATAAATATTTGCGCAACATTGAAATATGGATTTAGTAGTAAATATGGTGATATTCGTGGTGATAAACAACGCCTCACACCAAAACCACCATAGAAGAAAATGCAAATTTGAATTTTTACAACGGTAAGTATCTAAATTACGCCATAAGTTTTTTTAAGTATTGATATAAGGGGTGGGATAATATTGTACTTCCGTTCTTTAATAATAATCCTAATAATCCTCAAATTTATTATTATTATATTATATATTTATATATATATATTTTTTTTTCAAGTAATCGATAGGAATATTATTAGTTCAAACATTTAGAAGAAATGTATAACGATAAATAAGATGACCACTAATTTTTTGCAGAGGTGAGGCAAAAAAAGGAATTTGAATGAGTCATTGTCAGCAAGCAAGCGAAAGATAGCAAATATAATTGAATTTTCCTATTTTGATTGTAACACAGCGACCATGATAAATTTTAGTAATTCATTTGTTTACAAGTTTGTCTTGAAAGCAAAAAAAAAAAAAAAAATGTCAGTCTTCGAATTATGAACGAATTGAAGGTGAATTTTGTTAATTGATTATTGGTTTTTAATAGAAAGAATTTTACCGAGGATGAAATGGTTTGATAAACTCGCACAAAAAATATTTATTAGTTACGCTTACATATGTGTATAATTTTATTATGCATAAAAATTAATTGAACTACTTAATGATAATAGAATTTTGTTTATTTATTTGTTGAAACTATACGTAGCAATATAGTTTTATTAAGTCCGTTAATAATAACTCACTAATTATCACATCAATAAATTCGGTTAATTATACAATAGGTGATTAATTGTAGTAGTACTAATCCATAATAAAAAATTATAATTCATTCATAATATATTATTTGACAAAAAATGATGAATTTATATCTCTCGATACGTACGATAGATTTAGTATGTGTCTCCCCTTTTATGTTTCTTATTATAACTTTTTTATTACAATGGTTATACTTGTGTTTCATACTGCGTGAATAATTTTAAAAACTTTATAAAAAGACAACTAAAATCCAAATAATATTTTTTTTTTTTTTTTCTTTCATTTTGAGCTATATCAAGTCAACCCGTCCTAATATTAAGCCCTTCGTTTATATTATAAATTATTATGTATAAGGCTCAGTGGAAAACAAAGTTGGCCAAAAATAAACATGGAGACTCACCTACTGATGAGTACCTCCCATTTATTGAAATAATATATAGGCTACCAAGAACAGAAATTTTTAATCCAAACCAAAGCGCGAAAAAAATCTATCCGAACCAAAGTAAACGACGAACAAAAGGTGACCCTCGACCAATAAACTCATTTATGATACTCACATTGGTTGTTAGAAAAGTCGCAGAAACTGAAACCGTTGACTTGGGAGATGGAAGGTCGTGCATAAGAATATGCCAACTTATGCGTTGGGGCGCAACGAAAGATGAATGGGAAATTTTTTTAAAATTACAAAAAGATTTTAAGAAAATTCATTCTACGTATTTTCCATTATATGATTATCGCAAAAAACCCCCAGTATCTGATACAAGCGAATTTGTTATAGTTAATTCAGATAATTATGAAGTCCTTGTTTCACAATCTCGTAAAAAAATTACTTCACCCACTGAACCTTCTTCACCGTTTTTCGAACCTCATAATAATGGACGGTTGACAGCAAATTATCCTTATGCAATTGCTAGTCCTCAAAACATTCCAAGAGAAGCACAAGCCTTTTATTCATATAAATTTATTTCTCCACTTGACTCTCAAGACAATTTTACTCCTAGTTCACCATCGTCGTCTTGTTCTAGTGATGTTATAGTTCCCAGCTCTCCGTTGGCACTTCATGAAGGTATTGTTTCACAAGCACCAAATTCTCAAATTGGTTCTCAGGACATAGTTGTTCCTAGCTCATCACCAGTTTCTCAAGTTGGATGTCAAGATATAATTGTTGTTCCTGGCTCACATTCTACTGCTCAAGTTAGCACTCAAGATCATAACTCTCCCATCCAACCTTTTAGAATTTATTCATACAACACTCATAACTCTCATAACTCTCATAACTCTCACAACACTCATAACTCTCACAACTCTCACAACTCTCATAACTATTATGGGCAATTCTATCATGCATCACTTCCTACCATTGCAGTTAATTGCCCAAATGACTTCCGAAATTTATAAAATTTATAAAATTTACGATAATTAATATCATACTTTTATTATTAATTAATTTAAAGAAATTTATTTCTTTTTAATTACATCAAAAATTCTTAAATATACACGATTACAATTCTCACAATTTCTTTATATAGATTATGAATATACCAAAAAAAAAAAAAAAAAAAAAGGAAAAAAAAATCACGCAATAATATTTTTCATAAATCTTTTATAAAATATTAAACCCTTTTTTATTCATCGTAAAACCTTCCCAAATAATAATAGTCTTTTTTTTTTATTAGGTACCTTCCCGAAATATGAATACATGATAATTAATTATATATTATCAATAATAATATGAAAAAAAAATTTTTTTAAAATCCCTTCCCTAATACTTTATGTTTTAAATTTCTTAATCCGTAAAACGCCGCTATTTTTATTAAAAAGCTTCCGTCTCGTTTTCGTTTTTTTATCGTCTCACTTTAAAAAAAAAAAAATTAAAATTAAAATTAAAAAAAAATTAAATTAAATTAAATTATTAAAAAATACATGTATTTAGAATACTGTTAAAAGTCGTTTTCACTCACTCACTCTATCAGTTTTTTTTTTCTTAAAAAAAAAAAAATTGAATTAATTACGTTTTCTAATTTTATAAAAAATAAAAAATAAAATATTAATTTTTTTTTTTTTTTTGGTCTCTAAATTTGGTAGTGGGAAAATCTTTTTTTTTTCTTTTGAGTAATACTGTATATGTTTACATGAAGTTTTTTTTTTCTTTTACATCAAAAGAGAAAATTTTTCATTATTTTTTTGATGCAATTACGTATTAAACAGATTAGCATACATGGTTCTATGTGATTGGACTAATCGCTATCTCTATCTCTATTGTTTGAAATTGTGCACAATCATCATTGTAATGCATATAAACATGCAGACTTTACATCATTAAAAAAATGTTATCTATAGCAGATAGTTAAAAAAAATATTTTAAACATATGGGTTTTTGTTTAATATTTAATTAAATTATAGTAAAAAAAAATATTAGATACGCATCCTTCTGTAAGATTGCGCATTAAAAAAAGAAGGGGGGTTGGGCTAATGATACGTAACTACATGTATGATATTAATCAAATTTGGCTTTATTCCGAAATGAACTTTTTGTAAAGCTGACCATTAGAAAGTATTAAATTTTTTTTTTTCATTATTCAACCTTTATTAAATATCATTAATTTTTAGGAAATGTTTTACTGTTAATTGATAATAGTAAAAGGTAAAAACAAGCTCATTAAATTATACTAATAAATTTTCTAATTTCTCGAAATAAAGAATTATGGCATTATATGAAATAAATTAATTGGTAGACATACAAAAATTCTACAAGCAAATACTTACATACGGAGTAAAAAATACTACCGAAAAAAGAATAAATTACATAGTATGTGTGTACTATAAGCATATATTTAACATGTATTTCTTTCAGGTTTATCGTACACGGATAAATATAATGAGATCATTGTTGTGGTAAACTTTGTAAATATAATAATGTTGGTACTTTACAAAATTGAAGGTTTTGATGATTTTTTCGCAGGATTGATGCACATATTTTTTATTTATTTATTTTTTCTTTATATTAATTTAAAGATTAAAAATTTGAAATTTTCTTGGGGGTTTTTCCGTGTAAAAATCATCTACAAAAAAAATCTACTTATAATTATTATTATTATTATTTTTGTTGTAAACAATCGCTACTTACCGAGGCAAATTAGCGTGACTATTTACCTAAATGATGAAATGTTTTAGGGGTTTGTAATATTAATGGGTTGATCTTGACCATTTCAACCTTGTCATTTTAACAATGGAAAGAACTGAAATAGTATTGTCTAATAGTCAATTTACCATATTAAAAAAAAAAAAAAAAAAATCAGATATCAATTATCATTTACTACTAAAGCTGCTGGATCACATGAATAAGGACTAAACGAGAAAGATATCCAGAACGCGTGCTAATTACTGTATTTTTGTGATACATAATGCTGTAATGGGCTGAAAAGTTTCCTTTTCTTATACTGTCAAAATCTACTCTAACGATAATATTCTTTATTCACGAAAGAATATATATCCAACTATATAAATAATAAATATAAGTTAAAAAGAATTTTATAATAAGTTTTTTTTAAATTAATTATTTTTTTAAAAAAGAAAAAAATATTATGATAATTCAAGTTAAAATGTTTTTTTTTGTCACGCACTGTAAGTACTGAAAATAATACATCCTGAGAATCATTGTACCATGATACACGTACTTGTTACAATTTTTCCGTTGCGATACGAATTATATAAAAGTTTTAGATCACCAATCGATTGGTTCTTGAATAAATAAATAAATAAATGGTCAACTATTTAAGAACTTTATTAAATTTTTTTTTTTTACAATAATACTACAATAGGAACGTAATGCCGAAAGTTAAGCATGTATGTTACTATATGTATATGTATACATTTATTCACATATATAATACGTATAATAAATAAATAAATAAATAAATAATATAATTAATTTAATTATTTAATTAATTTTGAATCTACTATAAAAAAAAAAAATACACTTTCATAAAAACAGAAACTTTTTGATTAATAAAGGGGTAATATGATTTTATTTTTTAAGGGTTTGATTTACCGTATTTAATTATTGTGACCTCGTGCAAATTTTGTAATCTCGGATAATCTTTACTCTTAATATCATAATTAAAATACATATATATAAAAAAAAATAATAATAATTTTTGAAAGATCCCTTTTAGAAATAGTTGATGGCTTTGGCTAAATTATCGTCATGATAAAGGTAATATAATTTTTGTTATATTTAGTTTTTTTTTTATTGAAAAAAAAAATCATTGCATGAATATAATAATATAAGATTTTCATGTTCTGATTAGAATTCTATGAATAAATGCCAATCGATTTTTGTCTGACTTTTTAATATGCGGTAAAATTTATTTTTTATTAAATAAGCGCATAGCATTTCGCAAAAATTTTGAAAAATAAAAAGACCGAAGCTTTTAGTATGTATTAAAAAAAAAAAAAAGTCATACAATTAACTCCGGATATGAATATCAAATAACCTGACTAAAAGGGATAAATTTGCATCCATGTGAAAATTACGCACATATTTACGATAGTGAATCAGCAGGGTCTTTGCTCGGCTGAAATTGTGTCTTTTGTAACAAATCAAAAAAAAACAAACAATTTTCTTTCAGAGTTCACGTGTTTATGATCTTTCCTTTTGAGTGTAAATGATTTTTAAAATTGTTTAGATAGCAATAAAATTTAAAAAGAATTTCAATTACACCACATTTGATTCAATTATCTGTTTCTTAAAATGAATTAATTATGTAGTACAAAGATCCATTATCTCATTATTTGGTTCTAAAAGTAGTAGGTTTTAGTAACCAATTAAATTTAAGATCCTATACTTGATTAAGTTATGAAATCATTTTATTCCCAAGATTATTATTAGCTAGGATTAAATCTCAACTTTAACAATGAACATTTTTAGACAAACCTTCCAAGAAAATCTTTTGCCACGCATGATTCATCTTAAACAACGCCAAAAAAAATTGCAACATAACGTGACTATTAATCCAATCAATTTGGTGTAACGTAAAAAAATTCAATTTTTGTCGCTTTCTGTACTCTAATTAAAAATGTTTCTTGTAAAATTTCGTTATAATGCTTTCTTTATATTTTTACAATAATATATTATACTATGTTCTTAATTTCAGAAAGTCACGTGAAAAATTTCAATATTGACGTAATCTCGTGACTGATATACTGTATGTCATTAAATTAGTGATATTTGTTATTAAAATAAATAAACAGTATAATGTAAATTGTTTTTTTTTCTATACCATTTATGTATTGTACTAGCATTCATTCGTTCACTCCCTGCGTATTTGTTATTAGTTATTGTAGTCGATCTCAAAAAATCAACCTTAATTAGTTGATATTTATTTTAGAACTCTACTTAGGTTGTATTGGAACACAAACCAGACTTCGGCTTACAAGTTTATTTCTTATCGAACTCATCTAATATCGATTTTCTCTTGGAGTCACTCATATATAAATATAGTCTATTTGATCGACTACCAGCATTATATATCAGACATTAGATATGACGTCATTCGTGTGGTAAAACTATTCGTCAAACAAAAATTCGGCAGTCACATGTAGTGATGTGCCGCGTACAGTACTATACGTAATTTATACGTAATACGGTAATGTACGCACGTACGCGAAAATTCTTGCCGATCACTTCGAGGTGAATTCCCTCAACCAATCAGATTGCTAGAAACAACCATACGCACTATACGTACTGTACGCGAAAAAAATTCAGGGTATCATAATAAATGGCACATCACTAGTCACATGATCTACATATAAACATTTGTTTTATTATTTATTAGACCAAATAAAGTGACTTTTCAATCTTTTAATAAATTTGTTTTAGACCAAATAAAATGGTTTTTTAATCTTTTAATTAATTAATAAATATGATTTCTTTCAACAAAAGTATTCACATTGCTATCCTAAAATTTAAAGCATTGTTAAAGTCAAATCATATTATAAAGTCAATGCATATACTATATATAATCTTATCTGTTATATTTTTTTTAAATAAATTTTATTCAAAGATTTTGCCGAAATAAAAAACAAAACAATACGTATATTTTGATAAACAAAATTAATTTATCTACTATGCCAATTTTCGATAAATATGAAAAATATATATTAAGACAGTGAGATTATATAATTTTCGCCCTCCCACGTAACTTAAAATTAATAGGATTATATCCCTCTCGAAAAAAAAAAAAAAAAAAATCGTATGTCATTGATATAAATAACGTATATTTAATCATCGTTAATGTTAAAATATTCGTCCACTCCGATAGGGGTTTCATCGAAAGTTGGAAGCTCGAAATCATCCTCTAATTTTTCTCCAATAGGGGTTTCATCGGTTTCAACAAAAGTTAGAGGTTCGAAATCATCCGTTGATTTCTCTCCAATAGAAGTTTTATCGAATGTTAGAGGTTCGAAATCATTCGATGATTTCCAAACTGGGACATATCCTTGCGATGAAATGATCTTCATGGTTTCGATGGTTTCGGTATGTTCATCATATTCAATGTTAAGCGTCCGTTCGTTAATGTCACCTTCAAACAAGATTTTTGGAGATAAGGTGTTATTAATTTCGTTTGACCTGTTTATTATATAAGTATTATTGTTATTTTCAGATAGATTTCTATTTGTCATGTCATTCGTTAATGACGGTGTTTGAGCTGAAGTGCCATTATTATAATGCGATAAATCTCTATTAATCCATTGTTGTTGTTGTCTGTTGTGGTATTTTTTATTTGGATATTGTTTTTTATAAGTCTTTTTAAGTTCGGTAAACAAGCCAGAGTATTTTTTGCGTTGTACCGGTTTGGCTACCATCCAAGCACGACCGCCAACAATTGAAATATCAATACCATCAATTTTACAATTTAAAAGAGTCTTTAGGTTATCTACTGTAATTGTAATTAATTCTTGGTTTGAGCAGCCGGAAAGACGAATTTCAAATTTTTCGCCTTTGGACCTAATTAAATTAAGATTGTTAAATGATGACTTTCCCAAAATCAACCTAAGATCATCAATTCCAACTAAAATTTCTGAAATATTATTAATATCATGTTCTAAAAGTTTAAAAATAGAATTTAAATTTTTAAGATCGATATTATTTTTGATTTCATATGCCATATATTGTTTCATTAACATAAATGGGTTAGAATATCTTTTAATTTGTTCACCATTCTTCCAATCTTGAATATAACGTGAATATTTTGTTATAGAATTTTTCCAAAATTCATTCCAATCAATTACAAAAAATAAGAAAGTTTGTAATAAACTTAAAGGAAACTGTTTATTATTATGAACCTTTCTTTCTCTATTAATACGTTGGCGTCTCATCTCTATAAAATATCAAAATTGAAGTTTTAGAGCGCAAAGATTGACAAAGACTTTTCCTTGTCCTTTATAAATCTTAGCTAGGTGTGCCATTTAAGACTTTACGTTTATTTGACAACAGATAATTTATATAATAAAAAAAAAAAAATAATTTATCACCATTTATTTTCTACGTATTGGTAATGTCACAATATTAAAACAAAGTATTTTAGGTTAATTAAAATGAATAATAAGTGAGGTGTGTCACTACCCGTTACAATTTATGGATATTCATCATCTTTGATGATTTTCCTTTTAGAGGAGTGTGACATTTTTCATCGGTGATTCTATTTAAATATTAGTTAAAAGTTTAAAAACTATAAATTACTATAAATTACTTAATGTAATATCTTATCTCCGTCAATTCCGATTGGAAAATAAGATAAATTTAAATATATAAATCGATTAAATTCGGATATGAAAGAAACTAAAATCGGATTTGTGAACGCGTCAAAATTATTTAAATTAAACTTTCGATTGGTTACTTAAATAAATTTTAATAAAAATATGACAAAGCAATTAGGTATTATTGTAGACTTTTTTAAGATAATTACCGTAATTATTAATTTTTGATCAATCTTCGATCATATAATGTAATCATATGGATTAAAAGGATAACAAAGCTTTTCTTTATATATATTAGTATTTTATTACGTTTATTCGATTATTAAAAACTATTATTACTTTGTGATAATAATTTCACTTTGTATCGTGTAACTAATTTTATAATAATAGTTTACAAAAAAATTAAAATTATTCGTGTCTAAATTCAGGATCTGAATCGGGTCGGATTGAATGCCGGTCGGTCGCCGATCTCGCTTAATTCTGGCCGTATATTTATATTTAATAGTTTTATCCATGAAATACGTTTATACTAATAAACTTATCTCTATAACTAAATAAATAAATAAATATTTTTTTTTAATCCATTAATAAAATTTATAAAATTTATTGTGAAGATATTTGTTTTGATCATGTCACGTTTCTTAAAATTTCGGAATTGTTTTTTAAATGCGATTAATGTTACACAAAGTAGTTATCACAGAATTTCGCGTTTTTACTTTCTTTTTTTTTTTATACTTCAATTTCTTATTCTGAATTGATTTAATATATCAAATCTAATTGGTAATTAGTTGTTACATTCTCCGCTTTAAAAATCTTTCTTAAAATAGGAATAATTTAAAACATGTGATTGATTAAAGATTACATAAGTTACACATTATATCATAAAGCATTTCAATGAAAAAATTTTTCTACACAAATCCTTTTACACAAAACCTTGAAACAACTCAAATTTATCATCTGCTCATGATTTCTGCAAAATATAATTATAAAAGTTACATGTAAACAAAGGACAAGGAGGGGGGAAGTAAATAAAATTAAGTTCAAATAATAACATATATAAAAACTATACTACTGTATCTTATCTTATCATTTATCTATCTTTTTATATTCAATAATTGGGCTTATATCGATATATGCAGATAATTTAATTGGCTACATATTATGAAAAAAAAAAAATTTTTTTTGCAATTTTTCATGTACATTATTATATGCATGGGGTTCAATGCGCACCAAATCAAGATTGCAAAGCGCACTGGCCCAGATTCTCAAATTCCCAATTTCTCACAAATATAGTATTATGACAAACTTATATAATCGGGGGCTTCTCATCTTTAATAAAAAAATCTATATTACTCTGATTTTGCATATAACATTTAATAATTATGAGATTATGTAATATTGCAAATTCCCAATGGATAACTCGTTAAGTAAGTTTGAAATTTTTATTGAATATATATATAAATATATCTATATTATTTAAAAGAATAGGGACTTAAAGTTTTCTGCAGGATACAATCAACGGGTAAACGAATTGTTTGACTAGCATATAAACCATTAACATACATGCTTTTGCATACACCGTTAATTAGGGTTAATTCTTGTTTAGTAAGATTATTATTTGATTTGCAAGTAATATTTGAAGGTTTAAGAATTATCCCATCATGTAAATAAAATCACATGTGACAAAAAATTTTCAATCGTTCTTTTTTTCAAATTAGTGATTATCAAAAAAAAAAAAAAAAAAAAAATTTTTTTTTTTTATAACTCTCGTGATTACAATGCAAACATATGTTTATATTTATACAACAGAATTTTGATCAGATTATGATAATTGTTAAAAAAATGCATGATATGGCGCTGATTATAAGTGATATAAGATAATTAAATCACTATTTTTTTTTTTTTTTTTTTAAATCAATAATCAATGCATATTCGGGTATGTAATTTCTGATTTAATTTTATGTATAATCATCCATTTCAATTGGAATATTCATGTGTGTTACTACTATATTTAATGCATTCTTTTTAAGTGCCGCAATAATTATGTTTTTTTTTTTTTGTTCACATTCCACAGAACTAATATGTAAAGAAGGCAGAATGGCTGATAGAAAAAGGTTTATCAAAAAAAGATTGTCATGATATTTTCATGATATTCGTAGTATTCGTAGTACTAATTTGGAGTTCAAAGCGCATAGACCAACTTTTCTGGCAGATATAATGAACTTAATTAACAATTAATTAATGAATTAAAAAAGTCTCAAAATATATAATATATTCGGTTTATAAATTACATATTTATTGGGTTCAATTTATTTACTTATTATGCAAACACACTCACAAATATTTGGATCACGGACTCATTATTGGACCAGGTTAGCCTAAGCATGAAGGCTCAACTTACACAATGAAGTAACAATCTCTGCTTACATTTTTAGAATTTCAATTATATACAAGTAAAAAAAAAAAAATTGAATTAGTTAGTGTGTCTAAAATAGATATAATTTAGGATTATTGGAGAGTCAATTAACTATTGTAATATATATATATATATATTTATAATATCCTTTGCTTTAGCTTTATGTTACGTACTTGTGTGTTTTAGTTAGGATGTTGAATGATAATCAAATAATTGGTTTGTGTTTCTACACGTTTACAGATATACAATTTGTTACGCAAAGCATAACGTACACGTGATTTTTGTTTAATACTTAAAAGAGGTTTTTATTTTTTCGTATTAATAATTTCTTAATACACATATTAGCTTCATTTGTGCGGAATTATAATTAAGCTAAATTTCGATATCTTAATTAATCTTAATTTATTTTTTTTTTTTATAGAATATCTTATGGTAGTTCTTTCGAAAAAAAAGTAAGGCTTCGACGATACTAAAGGATTTCACTGTGAATATTTAAAAAAGGAAAAAAACAAAAAAAAAAAGGTATAATAATAATAATAATAAAATAATAATAATGATAATAATA